AGTTGTTGCTTTAACCAGGACCTCTTCTAAATGTCGCGCTGTTGCGATGTCCAAAAGTCGTTTCGTTTTTCTTTTCGAATTTGATATTTCTAGTTAAGATGAATTGTGGTTGTTCTTGAGAAAATTATTTCTGTTCTATCAGGTTGCAAGTTTACTTATGTTCACTGAGAATTACGTCGTTCAGGCATAGGTCATGAGGCGCTCAGCCTGTAAGAATGACTCTACTAATTCAAATTTTAAAAAATTCATCTTGAAAATAGGACGAAATCATTCAGGCGGGCATTTTGAACCTACCGTTAATCCCAACTCTTACAACCATCCCTTTTTTCAACGATGCGGCGGTTAAAACTTCTACGTCTGGATTCAACGGAGCAGTGATTAACCATCAGGTTCTGAGGAAAAAAAACTATATTTTGAAAAAGGAGGTGCCACTTGCTGGACAACCCAGTAACCAGTTATTCAGACGGCGTTGTGCCTCTCTCAGAAAAGGAGCTAGTTTGTTTTCGATTTGGCCAAGTTTTGCTATGATATTGCACGCCTTAAATTCAGATCATTTGCAAAGAACTGTGGAAGCGAGATATGCTGCCTCGTAGGCAGACAGTCTTATTCGAAATGTACACGACTTGACATTAAGACTAAGCATTTAAAAGAAAAAGTTCCTATCAGAAAAAACCACTATTACGGGTCAAGTTGATCCACCCATTATGAACCGCATCCACTAATGAAAATTTGAGTGTAGATGAAAAAACTACAAATCTGTGTAGGCTCATGCGAATCAGCATATCTGCAAACGTGTGAATAGAATCAACCCGTTCAGTTGACAGAACAAGCAATTCACACACAAATAGAGCACCACAGTTCGCTTTGCTCAAATTCAGACTAGGTGTTAGGCCATACCGAAAGCCAATATGTTGAGGCTACTTTTAAACCGCACTCTGTGAGACATCCAGCAAAACAGCTCTCAAACAAACCGATCTAATATAGCAACTTCCAAAAAACCGGAATAACAATGGACAGAGGTTATTGCTCTAAATAATTGTTCTGAGAAAAAAATAGGAACGAGGAAGAAAGACCTTGTCAATAGGTTTCCCGGAGCCGTTGAAAATACGACCAAGCATATCTTCTGGACACGGGTGATCGTAGAATATCGCCTGTGAATTCGCAGATTGTGTTCTTGGCATCAATACCGGATGTCCCCTCGAAGACCTAAAAGCAGAACAATAGCAATTAGATGATGATTTTTGCGTCACGCACATGGAATGCACCATTATTACCACTAATGACCTTTACTCGATGAATCACATTTCTTTGAATTTCGTTTGGTTCTTTTCCAAAAGTTACGAACATGCTTAGTATGTCCCTCATGAACGGTGAACACAAAATTGGGCCTTCAGCGGTAGGGTTAGTTGTAGAGCGAGCATAGAGACAGGCAAGATTTAAAATGTAGTTTAATGAATATCAGCGACTTTGCCGATGGATATTTCTCCGAATTTTCATCTTCTTAACACCCAATTCCGCAGAAGACCTATGCATAGTAAACTGGAAACGGCGACTCGATAGATATCTGCAAACGTTATTATTACATGGCACTATTCTTCAGTAACCGTGCTAAGAACAGAACTAAACCCGACTACTAACTGAACGACTCGACATAATGTCAAGCCACTGTGGAATTTCCAAGGTTACGAAAGTTACTCTATATGTAGGGTTCTCGGAACAATTATGATTAGTACCAATACGCACAGCCTGTTCTCTCCGTAACACAATGTTGAGCTGTAGTCCCAATGGAAAGCTGAGCATATTCGAAACTGACTGCAGTTAAGGGGGAGGGGGGACAAGATAAAATTTAGTAAGGATGAGCAATAGGTAAAAGAAGCGCTAGCTCATTTTTATGTTTTGGAACTTTCTCCAATGAAATATTACAATTAAGAAAGTTCCCAATCTGTAAAGCTATTACCTTACAACAAAACGCTCAGAACTGTGATTGGTCCTACCTTCCCCCCCCCCCACACACAGGAAATCCCTTTTCAGTACTCCGCCGAGCTGAATTACTTGTCAAATACTGCGTGAAAACGACATAAAATGGGAAACGATCCGGAACAGAGACTACGTGAGCACATTGGAATTAGATTACTCTACGAATATAAACTGAAACAAAAATCCATATAACTATGTTTGCGAAAATACCTGCACAACAGCTTTGTTTCGGGTTATTTCGAGAACTTGTCCAGACCGTTTAGATCCATC